GGACATACTTTTTTTTTTCCATAAATTTCTAGGTCATATGTAGGCATGGGCTCCTTTACTCTACTGAGTATCTGTTTTGAACAACTAAATAATGAAAGAAGCAGCACATGGTTTTGTCCACTGGGTGTCATGTGTGTCTACAGATAAGGAGCTGTGGATACTTTCAAACACATATTGTGTATATTTTGTTTTGTTAGTTAAGGTTTTTATGATGTGTTATATTGTATCTGGTGTTCAATTATGTAGGTTTATTGGATGTTTTCTGAAAAAGTTATACTTTCTACATTCCTAGTAACTATTGTTATTTAAAATGTTAACACATAATAGGACAAGAGCTGCTGCGTAATTGAATGGCAATAAGAGTTTCCTTATTAGCTATTCATTACTACTTAATAAGTCAGCAGTGAGCCACTTGAGTTTGGAATGTGCCTGTATGGCCATTTTCTTTTAAGTTGAATTGTATATCAGGCCAGTCAAGGCCGTGGAACTGTCGTGCTCATGCTAAAGAATGGATACTTTGCTGTATTCCCCATCAGCAGTCATGTTGTAGTCTGTATTTTCTCCTGGCACAATACACAGATATTGGGTAATACAAAATACCTTTTCCATATTCTACAAACATATACACCCTATCCCGCAGTCTCATACTGCTAATATAATGTCCATCATAAAGTCCCACATACAAAATTAAAAGTCCAAAAATTAAAATAATAGATATAAAAATAAAAATAAAAAATATACAAATAATAGTCCTCGCTCTCCAATCTTCCAACTGTGAAAATGTCCAAATCTTCCCTTCAATCCAAAAGCACCTCAAAAAAAATATACTAGATATAGTGCATTATCTTTTTATAAAAATTATTATACGTGATATCATGCAACCACACTGGTGACATAAATAAACTAATAAATAAACATCACACATGTGAAGTGAAAATCAACACACCACTTAACTAGTGGTCCTGTGAAACAACCACTGCAATGCGTGAAAATCTACAAATACACAATTTGTGATCAGTGACAAAATTGTGCCAAAATAGGTGCCACTCTGCATATAGGATAATATACAATTACCCTCTTTTACTTTCAAAGCATACTGGGATTCCTTTATACCAAATACAGTTGCCTTCACGGGGAGTATGCTTTCCTTTATATGAGTAGATAATGGAATCCCTTCCTCATACAATGATGGGCATCGGGATCCCCGTTCCTCACAGGACAAATAGGAGCAGACTCAGTGGAATAGTATATAGTGGTATACAAAATTTATTTAACAGCTTACATAGTAAAAATACCGTCCATCCTCGCTGATATCCGTTCTGTGCTGAGACCTTCTCAAAATGGCCGCTCTGCTCCTTTCGGCCTAGCGTCTGACGTCACGTTCTGACGCGTTTCGTCACTTCCGACTTTTTCAAAAGGGATCCCAGAGCGAGGACTATTATTTGTATATTTTTTATTTTTCTATCTATTATTTTAATTTTTGGACTTAAAATTTTGTATGTGGGACTTTATGATGGACATTATATTAGCAGTATGAGACTGCGGGATAGGGTGTATATGTTTGTAGAATATGGAAAAGGTATTTTGTATTTTGCACTTTCAAGGGTGAAAGTTTGACTTTTCATGTGGGAAATTATAGAGTTTTGATTGATATTGGGTAATAGTTCACAAGCTCCCTCATCTTCTCTTTAGTCCATGGTAAGCATACTGTAGAGTTTCAATCGCCTGTGACATTTAGTGTAGTCTAGAGGAGCTTAAAGAAACAGGTATGTACGATAGAGTAAATAATCTTTTAACTGGCAGTCCCTTATTCTGTGCCCACTGCAGCCAAGCTTCTTCAGATGATAGAGACTTGGGTAAAACTGTAATCTTCAATTTTAGATTCTCAGCGGGGCTTCCCAATGCAACCCTCACTGCAGTCTACTATGGAAGTAGAAGCAGGTGAATTATGTTGTACATCAAAGCAACAGGCTTTCCTTCTCCCCATAAAGACCTGCCTTGAAGTATTTTTTTGTGACGAGTGCTTCCAAGCAGGTGACCTTTACTAAACCCAAAACCAAAAATGATATATAACGCTGCTTCGCAATCCTTAAATACAGTGGCTGCAATCATTTTCTTTTTGATGCTCTTTTAACTTTTTATCTGGTCATTTGGCCAGTAACACACTTTCTTTCTTAGGGTGGATTCAGTCTATGGAGGAGCAATCAGATTTGGATGGACTTGACTAACAAATTAAAGACAAGCTCCTGCTAATACTTTTGAAGCAGTTACAGCAACAGTCTTTTTTTTTTTTTGGGATAAAAGTTTTACATAAAATAAACACTGACTATTGTAAGCACCCATCTAACTGCCACTTTTGCTGGATAGCTCAGTCTGGTAAACCCTAAGTTTAGTCACAAATGAAAATAATTAGATAAGGGGATTGAGCAAGATCCTGAATAATTGCATTAAGTTGTTGGTTTATGAATCAATGAAGTTCTTCAGAGATAATTAAAGTGTGTTGGTAGCACATCTAAAGCAATATCCTTCTCTTAAACTCTCATTCCTGAAGTGTCCAGTAGGAGGGGCAAACAATATATATATATATATATATACAATATATACACAAATTAATTGCCTCTTCCCCTGAGAGGGTAAGGTAGACAATTGATGCCATCTCCAGTATGATTTATTCTCATATACAATATATTCAGTGTTATATTAAAATGGCTGCAAGATTCTTTGAAGTTCTCACTGCCTACACCCCTTGCTGCTATAGTTGGCTATTTATTTTATTCAATAGGAACCTTCATTATTATGTTATTTGCTCTTTCGCCATTTCAAAAGGTAGCTGGGCAAAGTGCTTCAGTCTGAGCACCTCTTCATAACCATTACAGCTAAAGGAATTCCCTAGCTAGTTTAAACTAGGCGGGATGTTACTTATGGATCTTTTTATGCAAACTTTTTCTAACAAAAATAATAAACCATGGCCATTAATCATGATTTAAGTGGCTACAGTTGATTAAACAAATTCTATAATGCACTATATGTGTAATAGAACTGCATGATTGACCTTACTGGAAATTATAGATAGGCTAGAAATTTCCATGTGGTTGTGGGTTGAGTTTTAGCACTTTAGAGCTCACTGAGGGCAGAGATTGTCTACAATCTGTCATTACTTCTAACTACTTCACACTAATAACCATTTTCATTAATGGTGGAAACACTAGAGGTATAGCCCATTGTTTGATGGTTAAGAGACACAGTTGGAAGGAGAATATCATGGAATAGAGCACTGCAATTTTTTGCAGTCTATATGAGAAGCTCTGTCAAATTGTTATCACTGTAAAAAAGTTTTAATAATAAAGCATTTGAAAATTATTCTTCTTGGCATTTTTATATGCTGAAAGGATCTGAGGGTTTTGATCCCACTGTACGCTTTGACCCTTACGGGTCGAAGCCTGGAGGTGAGAGGCTAATCTAGCCGTGTGTTGGAGTTTCTGCACCTGGAGTCACTTCCCTATATGGTCACGTGTGTTTGGAATTGCAGTAGTGGTGTCACCCACTTATCGGACATTTTTTACACATTATATTTATTTAGTTGTTCTTTAGTGTGGTATTTGCACTGTACTTGCACGTGTTACCACAGTTTTTCATCATTATAATTATTTATTTTAAATTATATTCATATGTGGGTTTTATCAGTAAGAATTATTCACCATATTATCAATACACCGAGTTCATATACTATGTCTTGTTATGGTATATATGTATTATCTTTATTTTGATCACCATGACCACTTGATTATTATATTTATTGTTGATTCACGTGGCCTATTGCAAATATTATATACTTTTTATTAAGGTTGTTATAGAGCGGCACTTTTTTCACTTTAGTGTTTTGGGGATTTATTGGTAGCACCACATTCTTTTAGATTTTGCTTTTTATGGACCAAGTCACCTTGTTTCAGATGTTAACTCTGCACTTGTATTCTGAAGCCCACCTACCTAGAAGGTCTATTGGTCTCTATTGTAATTGTATTTAATTTATATGGGTTACAACATGGTAGGTGATTTAGAAGGTTATCCTGTGTCAGCAGGTGAACTGGGATCAGGCCCGGACTGGGACAAAAAATAATCCCAGGCATTTTGGAGTGAGCAGCCGCAAGCCTGGGGACCCTTTCCTCAGAGTCCAGTGGTGGAAGGCCAGGGCCTGGTCGCAAAAGCTACTAGTGTCAGTAGGTTTTTATTTTTTACAATTTTAATCTTTTTTTACATTTTGTTTGTAGGAGCCTGTTGGGGTGCTTTGGTGAGGGAGAGAGAGGGAGGGAGAGGGAGGGAGGGAGAGAGAGGGAGAGAAAACAAGATTGCTGGGGAGTGTGGGTGGGGCAGACACAGGAGAAGAGGGTAGGAAGAGGAGGTGTAGAACCAGCTTTTTTTATCCTCTCCCATCTATGGTGGGAGAGGAATTGTTAGCACTGCAGACAGTCTAATCTGACAGAACCTGGAGATGGGGGAGGGGGGGGGCATACAGAAGCCCACAGCAGCAGGAAATGAATAGGAGGGGAAGCTGGGTGGCACATAGAGGAACTGAACCATGCATTTCTCTCCTGCCACTACTGAATGCCTGCAGGAGGGAGAGGAGGAGAAGCAGGCTGCCCCTCCTATCCAGGCGGCCTCAGCCCACAGGGCAAATGCCCAGTGTGCCCTATCGCCAGTCCAGGCCTGACTGGGATTACAAGAGTGGGGGCAGAACATGAAAATCCATCAGAGATTTTTATTCTTTTGGAGCTCTGATAGGTGGCCATGGGCATCCACTGGTGACTGTAGTAATGGCTTTGAGTTTAGTGACCTTCTATCTCTATCTTATTACACATCAATAAAAATATATGAATGAGTTATACACATTAAAATAAATGTTGTCATTGTGTTCCTGTAAATGTGACAATTGTCTTGTTTTTTCAGTTTCATTTATCATTTCTGTGACCCATTGCTGGACTTACCATTACTCCACAAATGACATGACCTATGATGATGCTCAGAAATTCTGTCAGAGTAGATATACTGATCTTGTGGCCATACAGAATAAAAAAGAGATTGAACACCTCCAAGAAAATATTCCAAGACATAAATATTACTATTGGATAGGAATAAGGAAGATCAATGGTTTATGGACTTGGGTGGGAACCAATAAGACACTTACAACAGAGGCAGAAAACTGGGGTGAGAATGAACCAAATAATAAAAAGAACAATGAAGATTGTATTGAGATATATATTGGAAGAGAAAAGGACTCAGGAAAGTGGAATGATGATTCCTGCAAAAAGAGGAAACGTGCACTGTGCTATACAGGTAAGAAATATTATCATTTTTTGCAAATTATCCTGTGATTCCAGCTCCAGAGACAACTCTCCAAACTGTTCCTGATTACCTGATGTTTTTTCTCTGTCCTTAGGTATAAGTTACTGCACACCAATATTGTTGCTCTCCTTAATGAGCTTTTCAGGTTAACATGTCTACCCTGCTATAGCTAAAGCCCATACTTTTTTTGACAAAGCAGAGAATAGTTAGAACCCATATCAGAGTTTTTTTTTGCTGTATGTGCCCTTGCTACCATAAAAATAAATTGTGCTTTTTCTGTAGCTGGTAGTCACAGACAGCTCAGCTGTGCAAACAAATGGTAACATATGCTCTCTGACATTTGGACATTAAAGAAAAACTCATGGACATGCTATTGCAAGAAAGTCCACTTAAGAAAATACAACTGCAACTTCACAGAAACAACAATCTTCTCTGAAAATACTTTATGTGGTCCATGTGGTTTCTGCAATCATCAAGATGTGGAATAATTTTTAAAATCCAGACTTTTTGCCTGTCATTCCTCCTCTACAAAACTCTTCTGGTAGTCTGAGCCACAAAAAAAAAAAAAAAAGGAGCCCTTATTTTTGCAAAGCCATTGTTCTCTTTTAAGACACACAATCTCTGTTGAAGTGCTAGCCAACTACTCCAGGTGTAGTACCCCAGACCCCAGATGAATTCCTCTTCACCCAGCAGTCAGGTATCTTTCCCTTTCCTGAGCAGGGGATCTGGCTTCTGTTCCTTCAGCGAATGTGCACAGTAACTAGAAGGGGGCTATTCTGGTTTCCCACCAGAGTGCTCCTTCCTCTAGTCTAGGTGTAGGTGTACTCACTCAGATCCTCTCCTGCACAACTTGTGGAATGGCTGCTGCTGCTTCCTTCAGCTGGCAGCTCCTTCCTTGAAGTATTCCTGTGACTGGTCTCTGTGTGGGTGCTCCACCATAACTCCTGGCCCTGCCGACAACCAGGCTTTATCTGACAACTCTGGCAGTGATGATTTTTGACCTCCATTTAGTGCATCTGCTTCTAAAGGATGGTAAACCCTGTTTTTTTAGCATTATATTCTTATACGATCTGCTGGAATGGATTAATGCAGTACACCCTCTAATTGGACAAAGGAGTTGCAAGTTAAGTCCAGATCAGATATTTCATCCACAAGCGCAGCTCATTTCCACTACCTCATTCCTTTTGTAGTTATCTGACCTCTTCTTCATCTCTGTTACCCACAGCAACCACAACCGCAACACATTATACTTCCCTTCCAACGATATATCTATACCCTACTCCTCTACCTCCTGTTACAGTTCCCACTAGTTGTACTATCCCTGTAGCCAACACCAGAAGTCTCTTTCTACAGCTCTGTTACCTTTGGCAACCCTTCAGACACCTTATCTAGCAACAACTATTGTGCACCCTCAGCTTCCTAAGGACAGATCAGCTCTCATACCAACAGAACAATCTGATCAGTTCCCCCCAAACTACAGAACAAAACCAATGTCCAAACCCAAAAAGAAGCAGAAGTCATTGACAGCCATATAAGAGTGACGGCAGAAAAAAAAACCTTCTTGTCTGCCTTTCAGCACCACAAACCAGCATGCTAGCCCTCTAACCCCAGCCTCTGGCAAACTTGTTTCTGTCCAGTCTGCCCTTGTTCCAGTCATCTCAGTCCATCCCGCCTCCTGTGACCCTTGGGTGAGGAAAATCCTGGGGGGCTGTGATTTTGAGCCCACTTGCAGCAAAGCAACTCGGGGTAGGACATAAGGTCCTCCAGCCCATCACTTTTGGAGAAGTATAGTCATTGCTTTCCACATCTTTGGGAGTCCATGTGAACTGCTAGGGGTGTTCGTTGTAAGCCTGCTTCTATGCCAGCATTCATGGTCCAGCCTATCTCCATGTCTGTTGCTCCATTCCAGCCTGTCTCCACGCCTGATGCTCTCATCCAGCATGTCCCTGTGCTTGCCACTCCAGTTCAGTCTGTCCCTGTGCCAGCTGAATCATTCCAGACTGTCTCTGTGTCAGCTGATTCATTCCAGACTGTCTCTGCGCCAGCTTCTCCAAACCAGTTTGTCTCTGTGCCAGCCAATCCAGTCCAGACTCTGTGCCAGCCTCTCCAGTCAGCATGTCTCTGTGTCAACAGTCCTTGCCAAGATTTCTGTGACATTGGCTCCAGTCTTGTGTGACTCCACATAAGCAGTTCTAGTTCAGCCCACCACTGTGCAAGACTTCTGCCAATCTCTCCTTTGTCAGTTTCTGGCAAGGCTGCTACCATCTCCTGAACACCAGTCTTCCTCTGCTGCATTAGTACTTTCCCCATCTTCATAAGCAATGCCATTCAGACCTGTTTTTCTGGTAAGTGGGGCCCTCAACAATTTTTCCAAGCTGCTGACTCTAAGTCAGTGGCCTTACACAATAACATGGTTCCAAAGACTTTTCTGACCATCTTTTCTATGAAGACTGTGCCCCCTGATCGTACTCCAGAGGTCATTCCCCTTTTTGCATGCTTTAGAAGGCCTCTTCCCTGACATTGTCCTCCAGCCTGACTCTGTAGACTCTCCTACTGCTGTCCTGCATGACTCTGTAGACTCTCTGCCTGTGACCCAACCAGACTCTTTACACTTTCCAACTGCTGCCCAACCCGACTCTGCTGATCTCACATGTGCTGAAAAGCCTGATCTCGCTGATCTATCTGCTGCCCAACATGAACCTGCTGATTCTGCATCTGTCACCCAGCATGCCTCAACTAGCTCTCCATCTACTGCCCAGAATTACTCCACTATTTCACCATCTGCTGCCATGCTTGTCTCCACTAATGCTCCACCTCCTGCGTAGTTGGACTGTTGTGGTAAAGTTGAGCTTACAGGTCTATTACTGCAGGGTTTTTTTTTTTTTTTGTCCCAAACTTGGTGTGAGTTGCCTGTTTGGCCAAAGATTCTTCCAGTAGCTGTCTTGTTCGATTCCCTTTTGTACTATTTTTCTTTCTGATGTTGCAATAATATCTGTGACCGAGCGTAGGCAGGACAGAACACACAGAGCAGATGATAAACACACAAAGCTTTATTGAAAGATGACAGTCACTCAATTGGGGTCTGAAGGCAGCGTCCCAGTACCCAGAGCTGGGGAAGAGCAGGGATGGGGGCCCAAAACAATTGTAATCCAGCCCCAGGAGGGCAAAGTTGGAGTCTCTGGTAAATTGAAATCCAGACAGGGAAGAGTAAGGGGGGAAAGTTCATGGACAGTCCAAAGGGGGAAAAACAGGGGTGCAGACACTCACAGTTCTGGCAGGGATGTCCTGGCTCACAGCGAATGACAGCAGGGGGGTAGACCCTTCTCAGCACACAGCAGAGGGTCCGCACTGCAGGTACTAGTCCTGATACTCCAGCACACAGCAACACAAGCAATCCTGGCCCCGCAGTATTTGGCAGTATAGCAGCAGGTACTCCTTCTGAGCCCTGAGTATTAGCAGAATGTTCAGCGGGTAATAGTCCTGGTGTCCCTGGGGTAACGCAGAGTACTCAGCGGGTAATAATCCTCTATCTCCCTGGTGTACTGCAGAGTGCTCAGCAGGTAATAATCCACTGTCTGTATAAAAGATAGTTATTAAGAGGTTATAAAATGATTTATCATGTCACCCAATATTTGGTCTCCATTCAGTAGCCAAAAGAGGCATTCAAAAAAAGGGGGATTTGTGAAAAGGAATTCACAGAGAAAGCGGCTACATTATGAACAGAACGTGACACTCAGAAAAAATTTCCAAAAATTATGCTTTATTACACATATATAAATATGACATATGGGCGTTCGCCCTGGTTTACCATCACCTCAGTATGAGACAATACACACAGACCTAAAACCATATAAAATGACATCAAGACCGGTCTAAATGCATGTGCAACAGAAAAAATGACTGCAGGAGTCTAATGTCCCTGTAGCACAAACACATAGGTGAACACTTCCCAAAAGAGGTGTATCCAAAAATTATACCATAGGCATACCATAATGTTAAATATTATATGTAGAACAATACCATTATGGTGAATCCCAATCAGGGAATCCAAAAATTGTACTATGGAAAAATATCACATATATACAATGCAGCAAGCACAATAGGCGTCAAGAAGAGAACAACAAGCCTTAGGCCTGTATGGGGGGAGACATAAATGTCAAATATATGATGCAATTCATTCCTGTGCCGGCACAAGTGGTTGGGGCCCATTCATCTGTAATATAAACAGCTGTATCCTAGAGCTCTTGAATGAAGTAATGCCCCATTTATTCCCAGGGTGGAAGAAAAGATGCAAAAAGCAGCACTCTGCTAGAAATGGTATCTTCACCACTATATGTGGACTAACACACCACCTTTCGTAGGGAAAACAGGACATATCCCAAAAGATCTTCTGCCCGTTGAGATATATATGGTATATCCTGTATTCTATACAAAGCACCATGATGTCCCCATCCTGTAGTGAGATAAATGATATGTGGGAAGTCACTGACAGAGTATACACTCAATAAGATATATAGGTCATATAGATCACAGAGGACCATATATCTAATGTCCTGTAACAGTCCACTCACCACCTGTGCTGTGGGTATTAGGAATGAAAAAGATGTCCTTCATGGGTACTGCCATACACGGCCACAGAGGCCTAGGAACCACCGCTGACATCCGCCGATATACCGCGGGTTCCAGCCCCCTCTTGGCGCTTGTGCTGCTCACACTTGCCTCATGGCATATGAAGATGGCTTCCTCCTTATGGGTCAGCGTGCGTTCCACCTAATGCGCATGACCGGAAGTGACGTATCTGACGTATGACGGAATAAATGGGGCATTACTTCATTCAAGAGCTCTAGGATACAGCTGTTTATATTACAGATGAATGGGCCCCAACCACTTGTGCCGGCACAGGAATGAATTGCATCATATATTTGACATTTATGTCTCCCCCCATACAGGCCTAAGGCTTGTTGTTCTCTTCTTGACGCCTATTGTGCTTGCTGCATTGTATATATGTGATATTTTTCCATAGTACAATTTTTGGATTCCCTGATTGGGATTCACCATAATGGTATTGTTCTACATATAATTTAACATTATGGTATGCCTATGGTATAATATTTGGATACACCTCTTTTGGGAAGTGTTCACCTATGTGTTTGTGCTACAGGGACATTAGACTCCTGCAGTCATTTTTTTTTCTGTTGCACATGCATTTAGACCGGTCTTGATGTCATTTTATATGGTTTTAGGTCTGTGTGTATTGTCTCATACTGAGGTGATGGTAAACCAGGGCGAACGCCCATATGTCATATTTATATATGTGTAATAAAGCATAATTTTTGGAAATTTTTTCTGAGTGTCACGTTCTGTTCATAATGTAGCTGCTTTCTCTGTGAATTCCTTTTCACAAATCCCCCTTTTTTTGAATAGTCCACTGTCTCCCTGGTGTATTGCAGAGTGCTCAGCTGGTAATACTCCGGTGATCCCTAGGGTCTTAGCAGAGTGGCTGCAGGGGTCTCGCCTCAGCGTAGACCTCCCAGCAGCTGGCAGTGAAGCAGAACAACCAGGAGAGCCCTGCATCAGCCTTCTTAAGGCTTTGCAGGATGCTCCCGGTTGCCCTGGCAACGTCGGGCAGCGTGCCTCGAGGCATGCCCCCTTGAAACGGGCCACGCTCTCGAGAGTGGGTGCAGGTGCGGGCAGGGGTGCACGGGCCGTATGGCTTGAATCTCGCCTCAGGGGGTCATCTTCCGCCCGGCTGTGTCGGATAGGAGGAAGAGGACCACGGCAGGTGTGGGAAGTAACACTTCTCATCCTGTCATCCTGTGCGACTCAGCTTCAAAGGGCCGCGACAGGATGAGAAGGGGGGGGTGAAGGGACACAGGACACAGGCACTAGGAGGGGGGTGGGGGGAAGCTTCCCTGGCAGGCATACCATGACAATATCCACATTGTTAAGTGCATCATAGCAACACATCTGCAATCCCTCTACTGCCACAGCTGCTAATAATGTTAGTCAGTCCCTTGTATTCATAACGTCAGGTGAGCCTAAAGGTAGAGGCAGAAGTTCTGCAGACATTGCTAGCAGGGGCATGCAGGTTTTGCATCTACAAATGAAAATGTGATTCATTCTTGTGAGGATCCCAGGAACAATTGGATGTTCAGACTTGATCACTGGCTGGAGCTTGCACATTATGCTTTCATCTTCATTTCAATTAACAGCTGCCTGTCCCCCTGAAAATGGGCTTACTAAAACAGTTTCTGCTTGATAAACACTTACATTATTTATGACGTCTACTACAGCTAAACGCATTGGGCAGGGACAGTGGAAGTGACTCCACCACATACACTGATACCGAAAGTGAGCTTTGCCACTAACTAGCGGGGGATTGGATGCTTATACTACATGCGATTTTGCCTGTTGGGCATCTTACTTTGTGAGTTTGTATTTTTAACTATTAATACATTTTATGAATGGCTTTTACTACACTGTGGAAGTTTCTCCCTCTCCCTGCCCTCTATATGTTACCACCATTGGGCATTATTGAAGTGTTTTGTGATAAGGCATATATGAAGATTTATGGGGACCTGGAGGCCGCTTGTACAATGAGCTCTTTATGATTATACCTTACAATGGGGTCATATATGTTTGGTAAGGTACTTCTATATGCACTGAGGTGATTCTGGAAGAGCTTCCTTTCTTCCTCAACTGGTGGATGGACATGGGCTCGGGCCTTTTCTGCCCTGTTGCTGCAGTGATATTATATACTGCTATTTGAATGTTTTGTAGCATATCTGCACTTGAATTATTGAAAGGATGGACACTTTGAACTAATAATATTGTCACTATTTGCGCTGGGGGCATTTTGTAATCCACCTTTTTTCACAGACACCTGTTATATTTATTTATTGTGTTTTTGATATTTTATTTGATATGTAATTTTGGTTCCAATATGTACTTATTGTGATTTTCATAATCTGGTGCTGCACTTTCTGTACACATTACTTTTGGCTTTAGTATCGCAATCCTTAGTGCTGGCAGCTTATTTTCTATTGCATCTAAAGCACAGAGTTTCTCTCCTATATAATGCTTACATAGAGTGCATGCAGTCAGTACAATATTACTGACAATTGTCTCTGAATAATAATCACATTTTTATTTCATGGTAAAACCTGCTTGACCTAAATCTGCTTGTATACTGTACATTCAACTGAACAATATTTCTGGGTATTGTTTTTATTTGTTGATAAAACCTGTCCAGTAATGCACTCTTACTTTGTAGCCTAATAAGATGCTTACATGGTGTTCATCAAGTCTGTACAATATTTCTGGCTGTTTTCTCTGAAATAATACAGTCAAAATCTTATTTAATAATAAACGTTACATGATCTCTTCCTCTTATATTTGCACTGCTGGAGCCCTTCTAACTAGCTTAGGGTCACTCTCTCCCCATTTTGGAAGTACTCTGCTTCCCTAGACCTCAGAAGTCAAGTTATTTAAGTAGGTCCTAGCAGCTCCACGAGGAAGAGGCTAGATATAAAATGTTAAGGGTCTTATTAAACATGCAGGTCTGAGACTAAATTATATTTTGATTTATATTTTTTTCTTACCAGCATCATGCAATAGTACATCATGCAGTGGCCATGGAGAATGCATTGAGACAATCAACAACTTCACCTGTGCTTGTAATGCAGGATTTTATGGAGATCTGTGTCAGAATGGTGAGGATCTTTTATTGAAACATAAAAGAGTGACACAGAAAAAAGACCAAGTGGTCCATCAAGTCTGTCCCATTTTCAAAGTTTTTATTTTTTTTAAATGTATACATGTTTGTTTATTTTGTTGTTGACTTTTTTTGTCTTAGTATAGATCTATGTTTGTCTCAAGCATGATTGAATCCACTTTCTGTTGACTGACACACTACCTCCATTGGGAGTCTTTTCCAATCAGCTATAAATAGTTGTTAGTTATAGTAGTTATATGGTTTTAACTGTTATAATAAGTGTGAGATATTTAGAGATAACAATCAACACATATTTCCACTAGTGAAATATGATCAGAGCATTAGAGGTGCTTAAAGTGTTACTAAACCCACACAACAGTAAAATCAGTCTGTATATGCAGTAAAGTATGCTTGTTATACTCACTGTGGAACCTAAGAGGTTAATCATAATTAGCACAAACATTCCCCACTGATAAGTGCAAAAGTTGCAATTAAGTTGCAGTAAAATACTTCACGTAACAAAAAAAAAAAACTCACCAAAAAGCACAATTTAAAAAAAAACAACAAAAAAGGTTTTACTTACTTTTCAATCATCTGTGGATGTTATAATGAAGTAAAAAAAGCCTCCAAAATTAAAATATTTTTTACAGATTCTTGGCCCTGTCCTTGTGGGGTTTTTTTCTTTTTGTTTTTGGTATATTTTGATGTTATTTGGGGTTTTTATAGACAACAGGAAAAAAGTTAAAATACATGTTGGTATATTTTTCTATCTATTAAAAAAAAATCAAATGACAGTAAAATACACAGAAGTTGCTGTTTTTTTCTTGTTGTCTAATAAACCTCCCATGATATCAAATTACACCAAAAATAAGCAAAAAACACAAAAACACAACAACAAACATATGATCAACATTTAATTGCTTGACCTGCTGGCCATGTGTCTTTTATAAACAGAATAGTGTGCAATTGTTTTCATAACAAAGAAATTTCAAACCCCATTTGATTATAAAAAAAAGTCATGTGATTAACAGGTCAAGCAAGCACAAATATTGCCTACTTTAAAATATTAGATATGTTGGCAATATTTAGGCAAACAAAAAAGGGAGATTTTTGCTCTCCCCTACTGTCTAATTGGCAAAAAGCCAACTGAGTGAGATAGGGGCTCCTGCTCTCAGGTATAGGATATCTAAGGATAACTCTGGGATTTGCAGTACTGAGAAGTGCAGCTTTATATCTAGCTCTGCTGGTCATCAATTACACAGTTATCTTGAGTTGTCTTATAGGTGAAAGTAGCAACCCTGCTATCAGGCCCCTTCTGATTAAGGAGTAATATGGAAGGCAGAATTTGTCACCTGTGTTTGGCTCCATGCACACTGAGCGTTTTAATAATACTGGTAGCATTAGCTGTGTAAAGTCGCATTAAAAATGCAAGTTTTTTGGTGTTTTTTATTATTTTTGCATTAGTGTTTAACTGTGTTTTTCCACGTTTGCATTTTTTGTGTTTTTTCCACACACAAAATGCCAATTTGCCGCATCTTACCGCTTTTCCCTGCGTTTTTTTTCAGCGATAGAGTGTTTTTACAGCTAAAAAGTCCTCTAAAAACCCACTAGTTCTGTTTTTTTTTTCAGTCAAGAAACGCCCCTGCCAAAAAAACTCTGATTAAAGCCTGTGTGTGTATGGACACCTAGGATAACATGCTGGGAATTTTACTGGCCGTAGAAAAAAGATGCCAAAAGCCAAAAATAGCTATAAAAATGTCCAGTGTGCATGAGAACTATATGTAATAAGCGCACCTTTTGTATTCCCTTTAGACAAGCACACTGCACCTGTGTAAGCTGTGTACCGGGGTGGGCTAGCCTGTGGTGCAGCACAACAGCTTACAATCTTACGCAAATCTACAGTATTCCCCCCTCCCATAACTGGTCCTGTAGCACGTGCCTGAGTATTCCTTCTGAGCAAAACGCCAGTCTGGCTTGAGTTTGTAGGATTTTATCAGCGCTCCAATGTGAAATGTCACTTTAAGTTGTGGAGTCCTTCCAATGATCAGTAACAACACTTGTGGCCTGACACAAACAGAGACCCTAACTAACTAACTATAGGCCTGTCTCAGTCCTATAGGCGCCAACACTAAAATGAGGTGCGTGCACGACCTTAACGACCCAGGTCTGCTTCATCCGCTGGTGACTCTGAACAGAACAAATGTCTCTCCATGAAGCATGCGATATCACAGTATATATATTAGTGATGGTGTGAACCTCCTGCGCTCCCAAGTGTTAATTTAAAACTAAAAATAGTAAATCAAATAAATATGTGTATAAATCCCAAAGGAAGCTGCTAGCATTAAATCATATACCAGTGATTCAGTAAAATATAAAACATAAGGAATGCTGCGCTACATTCAAATCATAGAGAAATGTGAATGTGGGATCCCAAAATATCAAATAAAATGTGACAATGTTATCAATACAGATCAATACGTGCTCATTGATAATATCATAAATCAAATAAATAACTCAAAACATGTGGAAACACAAAAAAACATTATCTATATATATATGTCCATCAACCAAAAATACACATATATATGATGTAATCACACGTGCCTATTGTGAAGTGAAAATAACCATAATAATGGTACACACAAATTAATATCTCAAAGTCCAAAAAAATATATTGTTGGTGACAAAAACAGTAAACGGTGCTTCGAAATTATACTGTTAGTGACCACAGGTGAAAAAACTCGTGCAGGTTTCTGGGTGTATACAGATCTGAGAATCCAACCACCATCTGGATTAGCCTCTCACCTCATCCCTTCGACCCTTGCGGATCAAAGAGCAGTAGTGGATCCCTCTCACAGATCCTCCAAGCACCAAAACACTCCAAAGGCAGTTTTCTCAGAGTATAATATTCCCACTATGGCTCTTCTCCAGGAAAAGTTGTAATATCAATCTCTCAAAATGAGACAAAGGAATCCTCCCATAGTGTAGTATATTTAATTATACCATAGGAACATGTAGCATATTTACATTGTAACTTACGTAGCAGCTAGTCCAAGAAAAAACCTCATGCTTTCAGATGAGGATATATCTGTCCGACAGATATATCCTCAATGAGGATATATCTGTCGGACAGATATATCCTCATCTGAAAGCATGAGGTTTTTTCTTGGACTAGCTGCTACGTAAGTTACAATGTAAATATGCTACATGTTCCTATGGTATAATTAAATATACTACACTATGGGAGGATTCCTTTGTCTCATTTTGAGAGATTGATATTACAACTTTTCCTGGAGAAGAGCCATAGTGGGAATATTATACTCTGAGAAAACTGCCTTTGGAGTGTTTTGGTGCTTGGAGGATCTGTGAGAGGGATCCACTACTGCTCTTTGATCCGCAAGGGTCGAAGGGATGAGGTGAGAGGCTAATCCAGATGGTGGTTGGATTCTCAGATCTGTATACACCCAGAAACCTGCACGAGTTTTTTCACCTGTGGTCACTAACAGTATAATTTCGAAGCACCGTTTTACTGTTTTTGTCACCAACAATATATTTTTTTTGGACTTTGAGATATTAATTTGTGTGTACCATTATTATGGTTATTTTCACTTCACAATAGGCACGTGTGATTACATCATATATATGTGTATTTTTGGTTGATGCACATATATATAGATAATGTTTTTTGTGTTTCCACATGTTTTGAGTTATTTATTTGATTTATGATATTATCAATGAGCACGTATTGATCTGTATTGATAACATTGTCACATTTTATTTGATATTTTGGGATCCCACATTCACATTTCTCTATGATTTGAATGTAGCGCAGCATTCCTTATGTTTTATACAGTATATATATTGCTTAGTTCCTTAGCTTCCCATCAGCTTCCTGGCCGCAATCTTCCTTTCTTTGAACACGGTTAGCGTCTTGAACACCATCAGCTTCACTCAACTGAATTTCTGATTACGGAGGACTGTCCTCACATCTGGATGGCATCGGATTCTCAGATCACACAGTCCCCCTTCTCTCTCTCAAGCATGGCTGCTCTCCTTTCCTTTTCCTGTTCACTTCCCAAGTCTAAAACCCCACCCCTTCATGAATATAGAAATCTCTATGCAGTCTGAGGCTGTGTTAGAAAAAAACAGTGACATATTGAGGCTAAACTGCAGAATGTCAGTCAGAACGTTTTTAATTTACTTCAAGCAGTGTTCAAAGCTGTTTCCCCATCTCACACCTGTACTGGGACCTGTGCACAGAGACAAGAGACTGAACTGCTGCTCTATAACTTTTCTGGTCTGCAGTTCTCAAGAGAGCCTCAGGCTGCCAGCTGAAGCTGATAGCGGGAGCATACACACAGGAGAGCTAGGCACCAACAGGTATCTGACACTCTCAGTGCTACACTCCTGCAAATTTTACTTTTCTCAGGAGATCAGAAATAAAAAGTAAACAAAATGGGGCCTGTTAGCATTCATTAACTCCAACTTCTAAAATGTTTATTAAAGTGAAGGCTGAAGATAGTCTCTTTTAATCAAGTTTTATTTCATCTGCAACAATTCCTTTTCATAAACGATGTGCCTTTCTTTTTGCAATATTATGCTGACACTGGCAACACCAGTGCCTCTATCACCTTGTCCCCATATCCATAGAAGCTTATTGAGAGCATTTTTCCTAAGTATGTAGATACTGTTGAGTCATAATATCATATGCAACCTGCAACCAACTTGAGCTTCATCTTGCTAGATTGCAAAGTTTTATATAGATAATGAGATGGTGAGAGTAGGTGATAGGGTTTTAGGAGATCAATTTATGGTACCTTCAAAATTTTATTTAGAGTAAATGATTTTAGTGAACAGACCAACCATTATCTACTGAATAGATTGTTATTCTAGTGCTTTGACTTCAAATTAAGTCAACCCAATATGCTGTAGCCACTAAACAATGTTAACACGATATAGAATTAAGTATTTTTTACCTGGATTTGGAATTTAATATTCTTCCAAGGACCAAGATGCAGACCTGCAAAAGTGTGGGTTAACAATCAGTTGAAAATTACAATCAAGACATTAAAAAAAAAATGGCAAGGACAGAAATATTCTGTTTCTTATTAAAGACTATAAATACATTGAATAAAAAGAGTAAAGCAAGTTTAACCAGTTAAAGACCTTGGATGTACACGTTAAGTCCAGAAACTTCAAGTTCAGAATGTCATCCAAAGACCTTTAGAGCTCACTCTGCCACTGAAATTTGTGGTGACACTCAGATTGTACTCAGGAACATTAACAGTGGGTCCTGAAGAATGAAGATTGCGATGTTTGAATTTTGCTGTTCCATAAAGAAAGAAGGCTTCATGAGCTTGATATGTTTTCTGAAAGGTCTTCTATGATTTTATGATTCTCTTTGACCTTCTTATGTCATTCTTTTTTGTGATGAAAATAATGGGGGACACTATCCCTGATAGATAACAGAGGACTATATAAAAATAGTTTAAAGTACCCTCTTCTTTAATGGACAATCCATTCAGCTACGTTAATCAGATTTTATTAGTTTTAGTACAGTATAGTGAACAAATGTTATTTAAAGACTATAAAAGAAAGTGGTAATGTAGTTTAACTTAAAATACATAATCCTAACCTGATCAAACTCTAATAAATATACTTCTGTATTCTCTTGCAGTTGTACAATGTTCACATTTGCTAAATGAATCATTGACATATATGAATTGTTCCCATCCATGGGGAAATTTCAGTTTTGAATCCCTCTGCCACTTTGAATGTCTGAATGGATTTTTCCTGGATGGAAAGGATAATATCCAGTGTCTTTCTTCTGGGAACTGGAGTGAAGCAACTCCACATTGTTCAGGTACAGAAATTAGGGCAAAGTACAATATACTTTACTTATGCACATATTTACATACTAAAATAATGAGGAATAGATCTAAAAATTGTAAGTTGCAATTCTCCCTACTCTGGACTGATTTACACAAATGGGATCATGGCCAAAATTTAAAAAGAGATCTTGTATACTGGAAAACTGCACCAGAGACACAATGCCATGTTATAAGTAAACATCAGCAACCATGGAGGAAGGGGGGGCATGAAATATTTCTGGTTCTTTATAAATTATATATAAAAAGCAAAGTCACCAGATAATAACCACGTTACCAAAATCAAATTGATGTAATGTTACTGCAGCCAGAGTGGTGCCATTCTACTAAAGGGATGCTGAGCAACCTATACCATGTTGGCAGTGCCAGAATTGACCAAAGTAATACTATGATAAAAGGTCTCTGAAGACTTCAAATAACTGAGATTGCAAAAAAAACCCCAAAAAAACAAAAACAGAAGGAAGACCTCACACAGAAGAGATGTCATATGGTGTACTAACTGTGATTGAGTAAGGTACATATTTAAGAAGTAATTGTGTATTTAATTACAGACATTTAAGTGATTTTGGAAATTAAAAATTAATCAGCAACCTAAGTTAAAAAATTGTGGAGAATATATTGATCTCCATACAAGGAAGATGTTGCACTAGATATATGTTATCAATGTCAAGTATCATTTATGATTCTGTGTGATAGATTCCCAGCGATCAATGTAATAGGTGAGTAGGATGGCCCCCCCAAACAAAAAAGTATATGAAGAGGTGACTGCAGTAAAATAACTTTTATAAAAAACAAGAGGGATAAAAATGAAACCACTGAATGCTTGTAGTCAAGTTTAATTTTTTTCCTAAGATTCATATATCCCTTCAACGTATTTAATGGCTTATATGGTGACCGGTATGGTGTGTATCAGCTATTTAGAAAAACTAAATGTATAACTGGTTACTTGGTAATAGCAGAACATGTATGTTTAGTCCTCATGCACACTGGACGTTTTTACAGCTGCTGTTTTTGGCTTTTGATGTTTTTCTCTACAGCCAGTAAACTCCCAAGCATGTTATCCTATGCACACATAGACTGGCAGGGACGTTTTTGGGACTTTGTTTGGCAACAATTTTTTTTTTGGGGGGGGGTACAAAAAAACTAAAATGCAAAAAAATGCCACTAAATGCTAATAAAAAAACACTACAAAAAAGCTGAAAAACTTCACACAGGTAACGTTACCAGCGTTATTAAAATGCCCAGTGTGCATGGAGCCTTAGGAAAGTATCGTTTAAAAAAATTATTTATCTGGGCATGAAAAAACTTAAATGTTCTATATGATGAAAAAGAACTCGAAAAAAAATATTCTGCAAAAACATAATTTATAAAGAATGTTTAAATAAAAATATATATAATATAATCTCTTATGAAATACTGTATATTCATAATATTTTTTTAGTGAAATTTGATTTGGTTACTGTGTTTTGCCACCTCCAGATCCACAGCTGGTTAGTAATTGTCTACATTTCAATATTAAAAGCTTAAGAAGAGATTAGAAATATTGGAACCTCCTCCTAGTAGCTTCAGGTTTTAATGATCTTTCTTAGAATTACCCAAGCCCGCACACCATGTATCAACAATACCCATCAAGAAATTAGCCAGAACAGAACCCTAATAATTTAAAAAAGTATCAGAAGAAGAGGATCTAGAAAAAAAAACAATAAGAAAAGTAAAAAAGCAAAATGGTGTAACCTATCTATTTATACTCTAATATCAGTTAAAAAACAGACTAGTAAAGCCAGGTCTAACATTCTGTCCCTCCTTCAAACAGAAAGCTTTTTAATTATTTATTGAATTTAAGTGCATCTATAGGCAAAATCTTTTTTTTTCTCTTTTGGCTAGAGGAAGGACGGAAAAAACCCTTGCCAAGTTACTTTTTGCTTTCAGTGCACTGTTGGGTTGAATTCCCTTCACTTTCTGTCCCAGAAACGCAACAGAAAGCCAGAGAGGGAGTCATCCAACGTGAGAGGAAGTCCCCTCTTAGACAGTTGTACCCATAACAGGTGACCCAGTTGAAAGTTTTTCCCTTTTCTCTTTTTTTGAGGACAACCCAACCCTATTTTTTGTTTATTTCTATCACTTTATTTTGAGACGACAGTTATCATCAGTACAACCAGAGGGTTTATTCTACCCCGTGGGCACACAGACTGCAATAAAAACTTGACAGGAGGTTTAATCATTCCCCACCGTATCCAAAACCTAAACCTTGCTTTCAGTTACTTTTGGAATAACGTACACTAAATACTATTTAGTAAAGCGTTTTAACACATCTTATATACATACTTATAATAGTGTGCATATACAACCAATCCTGTGATACAAGAAATCTTTTTGTTCAAAAATCCTTGGTGTAAAACTCTGTCAGCAGCTGTGCATGCACTAATTGCTTAAAGTGAGTATAAAGTTCATTTTATTTTTATATATAACAAACATGTCATACTTACCTGCTCTGTGTAATGTGTATGCACAGATCAGCCCCGATCTTCCTCTTCTCAGGTCCAATGCCAGTGTTCTCGGATACTACACTTCTCCATGTTCCACCATAGAAAACCACTTCTTATAATGGTAAACATGTGGCAGTGCTGTGAGTCTACTGACACACACAGCTGGGCTCGGCCTGTCCCCCACTCCCTTGTTACTTGATTTGAGTCCAGTGAGGAGGGGAGAGAGAGAGCAGCACTGCACCTTAAAGATTTTTCACCCTAATACAGAGAATGCATTAAGGTAAAAAATCCTCAGCCTTTACAATCATTTTAACCACTTACCCTGCAGAGGATTTACCCCCCTTCCTGACCAGGCCATTTTTTGCAATACGATGCTGTTACTGTAACTGACAATTGTGTGGTCATGTAACACTGTACATAAATGAAATTTATGTCCCTTTTCCCCACAAATGGAGCGTCCTTCAGTGGTATTTGATCGCCTGTGCGTTTTTATTTTTTGTGCTATAAACAAAAAAAAGACTGACAATTTTGAGAAAAATTAGACATATTCAGTAAAAAAATTTAAAAAAAAATCAAATTTCGTCATACATTTAGGCCAAAATGTATTCTGCTACATGTCTTTGCTAAAATAAAATCCCAATACCTGTAAATTAATTGGTTTCCGTGAAAGTTATAGCTTCTACAACTGGATTTTTTTTTTCATTTTATACTAGTAATGGCGGCGATCAGCGACTTATGGCAGGATTGCGGGACTGTGGCAGGCATTCTGACACTGGGTGGGAACTGACTAACTGCCATTGACATCCCCAGTGACACTATTACAGTGATCAGTGCTAATAAAGAGCACTGACACTGTATTAATGGCACTGGGCAGGAAGGGGTTAACATCTGGGGCAATCAAAGAGTTAACTGTGTGCTGTTTTACTGTGTGCTGTGTGTCTTTCACTGTATCAGCACATTGCTTTGTATAAAGCAATGTGCAGGAGCTGACAGGGGAGAGATCTGTATTGTTTACATACAGGTCTCTCCCCCCCGTCAGTGATACTCGGTGCTCACTTGGTGCCGGTGCCAATGGCCGCCCTACCCGGAAATGCGAAATCACGTATATATATATGTGATTTTGCGCAGCCCTTCCACCCTGTAGCAGTATTTGTGCTATAGGGCAGCGGGAAAGCAGTTAATATATAATATTGTGCAAATACAAACAATAGTGTGCAAAATACAAAAAATCTCTTTGTGCAAATAATAGGAAAACATTGCTTAATTCCTTTTGTTAAAACACATTTAAAGCAAAGCTGTAAAATTTGTGCTGCGATAGCACAGAGGAATGTGAGTGGATTGGTTTGTTTGCTTTTAATGTGTTTTCTTAAATGGAATTATGCAATATTTGCCTCTTATCCTCTATTGATTTCATGTATAATCCATATGGGAAAATGATGGCTTTTGATATCTGGATATTTAAAAGCGAGTATGACCCAGAAATCTTAAGAGTTTGGGTTTTGTTGTTGAGTTCTCTGAAAATTGGATAAGGATTCACATAGGATTGATTCAAGGTGCCACACTGTGAAGTTGTTGAAGATTGCACCTTTGATATGATTGAAGATTGCACAGGAGAATTGCATGTCTTATTGCATTGACTGTGTTGGTGTATAAACAGCTTCCAGCAGAGATTTGCTCTAAGGACTTTTGCACAAAGAGATGTTTTGTATTTTTTTGTATTTTTTCCACAATATTGTTTGTATTTGCACATATGTTAAGGGGTTGGTGTACGCTCAGCTTCCAGTACAGTTTTACAGCAAGGATTTCTTGTATTTTGCACAGGATTGCTTATTTGTACATTATTATATGTGTACAGATATGATATTTTAAGAAACTTTAGAGGCACAGACACTTTTATTTATAGCACTTTTGTTTAAAGGACACATTTTAATGCTTATGGATAATTAATTAGCACGTTATTATTTTTATTACCTTATTAAGTTTTGATTTACATCCTGAAGCCTGGATTGTAGAGTTTTGGATGGGATAAAGCCTCCAGTTCTAGGTCCATGTTTTACTCGTTAGCCATGTCTCACCAATTACTCAGCTCTGCCCAAGCCTTTTTATGTGAGCTTACTGAGGCTCAATAGAGTTGATTTACTAAAGGAAAATAGACAGTGCACTTTGCAAGTGCAGTTGTTCCAGAGCTTAGCAAATGAGAAGCTCTGCTGCTTTTCAACATCCCATTATGTGCAAGCAAAAAACTTTTTTTTATTTTCCTTGCATGTGATTGGGTATTCTTTGCAAAGTGAAACTTCACCTCATTTACTAAGCTCTGGAGCAATTGCAGAGTGCAACTATACTTGCAAAGTGTACAGTCTATTTGTCTTTAGCAAATCAACCCAATGTTTTGTTTTATTGTTATGTGATAGTCTGCTGCACAACTGCCAGAATATAAAAAAGGGCACATGAGCTGGTTTTTGGGGGGAGTCTATTAAGGACACCCTGTAGGTCAGGGAGTTACAGAACATTAGTTAGTGGCTAGGATGAGCAAATGTTTTTTGTTTGTTTTATGTTATGGATTTGCTAAATGGATTATGGTTAGTATATTTGCCACTCAATAAGACATGCTGTTAAGAATGAACTGCCAGTTTAAAGGATCCCTTCAAAGTCCAGTGTCAATATACTATTATTTCTAATGTGAGAGGGAAGAAGCAAGTAGTTGGTTTGTTATTTCACCTTTCAGTAAATCTTTGGTACTCAAATTTTAATTTAAAAAATTAACAAGTTACAGAATACGGAACTACAGGTGAAACACCTTAAATTAACAACTGATAATTCACTTTAATAGATTCTCCTGTATTCTCTTGCAGCTGTACAATGTCCATGTTTGGTAAGTGAACCTCCAAAGTACATGAACTGCTTCCATCCTTGGGGAAATTTCAGTTTTGAATCCCAATGCAACTTTGAATGTCATGATGGATTTTTCATTAATGGAACTGATAACATCCAGTGCCTTTCTTCTGGGAACTGGAGTGAAGCACCTCCACATTGTTCAGGTACAGAAATGAATAGTAAAGTACTATTTATTTTTACTGAGCACATCTTTTCTAATTACTAATTTAAGTTATGTTTGCCATCACTTTTGTGTGCCGATTCAAAGACTTGCTGTATAAACAAAAATGGAAAGCATAATCAGTAACAAGGTCTTCCAGTGCCCAGGCCAAAGATACCAAGCTATGCCCTCCCCCATTCATGATGTGCGAGCTTAGGGGATCGTAAGGGAGAATGTCACCAGCACACCGAGGATCACCAATACGGATCCAAACGTTTTAATGAACGATCACATCATTACAGCAAGGCTCTAGGCCCAGGAGGAGATTACGTACTTGACCTCTACCCCAGAAGCCAACAAAAGGAAGCCCCCAGATTTTGTCTGAGAGTGAGCGTCTAACCGAGAATCCTTCCACAGATAGCAAAGTTGGCACATCTGGTCACTCCATAGCCCTTGTTACTGAAGCCTTGCTGTAACTATGTGATCGTTCATTAAAACATTTGGACCCATATTTGTGATCCTTGGTGTGCTGGTGACATTCTCCCTTGCTGATTCTGTTGGGTTCCATTCGAAGGTCACTGAAGCACACATTTATACACACTTCTAATGCAGGAACGTGTGCGTTTGAATTGTGCACTTGCTTAGGGGATCGTACACCCAGCAGTCACTCAATCACTGCGCAGCTCCTGATCTCTCAATCAGGTTTTATGTGGACCTGGAATTGAGCAGTGATGTCATGGGACCTTCCTGCTATGTTCTCTGCCTTTGCTAGTCCTATTGTGCCAGAGAAAAAACAAAAAGGCAGATTGCACATGCCAGTCACAGTGGAGTATGTTGTTACACAGGTTAGGGAGAAAAATGGGTTTATTATGTCAAATCACCTAGCTTTTTAGTAGCTAATACGTTAGATAAAAAAAGGGTGGCAAATAGCAACTATTACAGTTATAACACTCTGCACATGCTTGTCAAATAATAAAATAAGCAACCATTTCTGAGGATAAATTCACACCAGGTGTGACAGGACTGTGTTGGTTGGCTATTACAGCACAGTCCACCACCTGCCCCTCCTTGCAATTTCTGCTGCCAGTGTGGGAGGAGGTGGGCAGGGGGTGTAAGATGACAGAAGACAGATGCGTGTGTGTGGGGGGATTAAACAAAGCCTGCAAAGCCCCAATCTGACAGCGCTCCATTATTCAGAAGCTGGCAGCTGTGCATACAGGATACAAAAAAGAGAAAGGAGGAGCAGGAGGAAAAGACAATTCTGCCCCATCTCTTCCAACACTCTTCTCTCCTCCTCTCCTGGACTCTTCAGTACTCAGCTGTGCAGAATGTGTTCTCTCTCTCCTCTTCCTTCCTGTGCAGTGCTCCTGTGTGTCTGTGAACACCACTGTCAGCTTGGTAATACAGGAATGCTGCACTGACAGGAGAGAGAACACAGCCTACACCTCCTTCCAGCTCTCTTCTCCTCTCCTGGCTGCTCTCAAGTTGGGTTGACAAGAGTAGTGATGTCACTGTAATAAACCACTGAGCCCAGAGCAACCGCTCCTTCCTCCCACCCCTTGTCCCGGTTTTGAGCATAATCATTGTGCAGTACTGTAAACCAGGAGTAAGAGTTCAACTGTGGGTATAGGATTATAACTTTATCCTTTTTTTTAATGGTTGAACTGGATGGACTGTTGTCTTTTTTCAGCCAGACTAACTTTGTAACTATATTTGTAATAAAAAACTGGATAACTTCACAAAAATGTGCAAAAGTCCAAATGGTGAAGTCCTAAGCAATGCACTGTATATAAAAACATGGCAACAAATTGACTGCGCTTAAAAGGTTTATGGCACAATAAGATGATATATTAGTAATCAATAAATGTGTCAATAAGCATTTTATTTCTTGTAATGCAAGTTTGAATTTATCTTTAATTCTGTAAACTTATTTAAAAGTAAAAGAGCCAATCTATTGATATTTAATGATACTGGTAATAAAACTCTAATACATCTGAATTCTTTTACAGCTGTTCAATGTCCCCATTTAATAAGTGAATCGCCAATGTATATGGAGTGTTCCCATCTTTGGGGAAATTTCAGTTTTGAATCCCTCTGCCACTTTGAATGTCTTGATGGATTTTTCCTTAATGGAACTAAACAGATCCAGTGTCTTTCTTCTGGAAATTGGAATGGAGCAACCCCACATTGTTTAGGTACTAAAATTAAAAGGAAAGTATAATTTATTTTCAATGAGTGCATATATTTGAGCCATCATTGTGTGTTTACTTTAAACACTTGCCCTCCAGAGGTATTACCCCCCTTCCTGACCGGACCATTTTTTACGATATGGTGCTGCATTACTTTAACTGACAATTGCACGGTCATGCAACACTGCACCCAAATTTAATTTATGTCCCTTTTTTCCCTCACAAGTGGAGCTTTCTTTTGGTGGTATTTGATCGCCTCTGCATTTTTTATTTTTTGCAATATAAACAAAAAAAGACAGACAATTAAAAAATCAATATTTTTTACTTTTTGCTATAAAACATATCCAGCAAATAAAAATGTAAAATCTAATTTCATCATAAATTTATGCCAAAATGTATTCTGCTACATGTCTTTGTTAAAAAAAAAAAAATCCCAATACGTGTAAATGAATTAGTTTACGTGAAAGTTATAGCGTCTACAAATATAGTGATCAGTGCTAATAAAAAGCACTGACACTGTACTAATGACACTGGACAGGAAGGGGTTAACATATGGGGCGATCAAAGGGTTAACTGTGTGCTGTTTTACTATGTGGCCTCTGTGTGTTTTAATATGTAAAACATGCTGCTTTGCATTGTTCTGCTATGCAGAGCAATACAAAGCAGCATGCTGGTGATGAGAGGGGTAGATCTGTATTGTTTACATACAGACCTCTCCCCTGTCAGTGTTCCTCGGTAATCGTTGGGTGCCGACAGGAAATCTCTGGTGATCGACAGCTGTAGCCGCCAATGGCAATACGAATAGGGCGGCACGCTCGTGTCCCTTACCTGGAGATACAAAATTATGTACATATACGTGATTTTGCGCAGCGCTGCCACCCTGTAGCAGTAGTTCTGCTATAGGGCGGTCGGAAAGCTGTTAAAGTAATTATTAGTGATTTAGCAAGTCTTCATATTTCCCTGTTAAAAAGTAATTAGTAATTATTAGTGATTTAGCAAGTCTTCATATTTCCCTTTTGCTATTATATTATTTGTAAAGATTTGTTGTTTAGCTACAATAGGCAGGGTAAATTATCCATTACATTGACTGCGTCTCTTAAAATGGTAGTAAAGTGTAGCATTAAAAAAAAAAATCCCCTGCAAGGCAATGGCATAATATGCTAGTATGCATACTTACCTTAGAACAAAGCCCTCCAAAAGTGCACTATAACTGCTGACGGGGCTTCCATCTTCCCTCAGTCTTCCTTCCGGGTTCACTAGCTAACCCTTTGAATATCTGAGCAGCAATGACGTCACTCCACAGCATGCACACAGTAGTCATGGTTTACAGCACAGAACTCTGAAGGGACGAAATGGTATGCCATTCCTTCAGAGTGTGCGTGTCGGTGATGCCACCGTCTGTATCCAGTGTGAATATCTCCTAAGCACCGCAAGTTCAGGAGATATTCAATGTACCTAAAGTAGGCTTGCCTGTAGGTACAAGTTCAAAAGCAGATTTTACTACCGCTTTAACAGCAGTTAACATAAGATATTAGATGCACAGGGACAGCATTGTTTTCAGGCGATCAGCCGATTGAAGGGAAGCAACAGAAAGCATTACCCTTGTGTGAACAGAAGTCAGAGCTGCATTTGTAATGAGCAAATGTGTGGGTCACATGTATAATTACAAACTTTATTTTAGTTTCAAGATGAACACTTGTTGATAAGATTATTTTATATACCAAGCTGATCTTGATCAGAAGTATGTCTTATAAATCATTGAAAAGACTATGTATTTCCTGTAAGTTACAGTGCATTGTGAAAGGAATTCAACTCACCAAAAGTGGGTGAATGCGTGTACACAGCCCTGTATATAAGATCATGGCATTAAATGGATTGAGCTTAACCTCTTAGCACCAGTGCCAACTGGCCTTTTAAGAGTTTCAGAAGCCGGGAGGCGGGCTGGTTTTAGGGTCGTGTGACTGCCATAATTTGCCGTCACGGCGGTCACATGATCGGAAAGGGTCCCGATCAAAAGGGGAGATTGGGACCTTTCCGTGAGTCACGGACATATGTGCTGGGAGCGCACATATGTATTTTCTAATTGCACGCAAATATGCGGTCACTCGGCGTCAAGGCCCAGATGCCGAGAGGCCATATATTTGCATGCATAAAAGGGAGAGGTGAAGAAAAAAGGCCGCTCTGCAGATGTAAAGGGCTCCCACCGGAGCCCAAAGAACAAAGGAGGCCAAATAGTGTGATACCTTATAGGCAAGGGGTATTTATTCCCAAAGACACACAATATACAAGCAGAGGCAGGAGAGATACTGACCATACAAAGATAACAAATGGCCGCCGGGGCCCTCGTGGCGCCGGTCGGCGTGACGTCACACCGCTGTAGCCGCTCCCTGACGCGTTTCGTGCGAAGGCACGTAGTCATAGGGGGTTAGCTAACCTATAAGGTATCACACTATTTGGCCTCCTTTGTTCTTTGGGCTCCGGTGGGAGCCCTTTACATCTGCAGAGCGGCCTTTTTTCTTTTATGCGTGGCAAACACTATCAAGTGGCGAGGGGCTTTTGTGACCAGATCTGACCAGATCCATATGAGGACCCTAGGATTATCTGCTTTGAATGCGCATTTGGATTGCGTATCTGGTGAGTGCGCAATCTTTATACTTTTATCACCTCATCCACGAATCCAGGCATTGGAGCTCTTTGAAGACTCTCTTGGGTTTTGATCACGTTATGGACTATACTTATTTTAGTCACCGTTTTGCACTTTAACAGCACCTTAACATTGGTTTTATATAAGTGTATATTTATCAAGTTAGCGCTGCACCTCTCCCTTTTATGCATTCCGATTATTGTGAAGGTTTATATGGTACCTTTTTGGTGTTCAGCTGCTATTTTTCTCGTTTTATTTTGTTCACTAATTGATTTTATAAGTTGTTTTAAGCGCTCACTTGTCTTGAGATTTACTATATATTTGCATGCGCTCGGCGTCAAAGGGTTAATATATCTTTTGCAAAATAATATGACATTAGTAATAAGTAACTGCATCAAGAAACAATTTGTTAGGCTTATTTTTGAACCAAAGAATGAATATATATTTCATATGTATCTTACGGTATTTAAAATTGAAGAACATTCTACTGAAGTTCAATTAAAACACAGTAGCCAATGATCTGATTAATTTCCCATACATTTGTTCATATGCACTCTTGCAGCTATACCGTGTCCACATTTACTAATTGAACCACCAATGCATATGAACTGTTCCCATCCTTGGGGAAATTTCCGTTTTGAATCCCTCTGCCACTTTCAATGTCTTGATGGATTTATCCTTAATGGAACTGATAAGATGCAATGTCTTTCTTCTGGGAAATGGAATGAAGCACTTTCGAAATGTTCAGGTACTGAAAGTAAGTCACAACGCGTTATAAAAAGGATTCTGATGTTCACAAAAAATTAACTCCTAACTAAACCAAGCAGCTTTGCTTCCCATTGTTGTGGTTTAGTAAAAAAAAATATAGTGGAGTACTGCGTATGTGCTGCAAATGTGCTTTACCAATTGAGAGCTTTTTTATGCATTAAAGCTAATGGTATAAAACTTCTGTTAAATGATTTCACTAAAACAGAATCATTACTGAACATATGAATAACACTTGTTTATTTACATCTGATGGAGAGTAACACTTTCAGCTTAATTTCAATAGCTGAATTGTAGCACTGTAGTTGAAACATAATTGGTAAAGGTAGTAGTAATAGGAAGCAAAATGTGCGTGATTCAGTAAACAGTCTTGGCCTTTGGTTGCCAGTTTTTTGTTTTCTTTTTAGCTGTGGACATCTCAAAAACTCAGAAGTACTTGGCATTCACCCTTCAATAACTGCTCTAACCTGACCAACTAAGTTGTAAAGTATGTTGTTTATCTTAAAAGTAAGAAAAAGTATTTGACATTTTGAAATCCCCTCTGGAAAATGACAGTTGGCATCCCAAAGCTGGTTGCAGTGCAACATGTTTCCATTTTAGACATGTGCAAAGAAACACACATTCAACAAAGTGAAAATAAGTGATTTCACTTGTGTAAATAACATGGCTCCAGGAAAGCAGGTGCACAGCCTCTCCGAGATTTGCCCTTCTCCTCTTCAGGCATACAAGCACATTTGCAGCACATACGCAGTAGTACTCCACTATATTTTTTTACTAAACCACAACAAGCTTTATTGATACCAAGTAAACAGTAGTAAAGTGCAGCGCTAAATAGGTAAAATCAAATTAAGAATACAGTCAGATGCACTATGTAGTTAAAACAGTTCATAGTGCCAGTAAACGTATCTTTCTTGCGATATTCCAAAAATGGAAGAATAAATGAGCAAATTATGCGCTTACCAGAAGCGCATGGATCATGCGCATTATGATATCCAAAGCCAGGGGCATCAAGGTAATAAGATATGCATCCGGGGATCCGTCTCCAAGTGGACAGCTCAGCAGTAACTGGATGGTGTGCGTTCCAGAGGCCTCCTTTAAGGATCAGCAGGGTCAGCCACCTGGTTGCAGGAATTCCCCTTCTCTGGGTGGTGAGGTACTTCCCAGGGTCTGCATACTTAAAAGCTCCATGAAGGAGCCATAAATAAAGTGCCCATAGCGTAATATTGCCAATAACATATTCAATTTATTAAGTAAAAAAATTACAATAAAGAGGTACACTGACCAATAAATCCAGGCGGCCACTGAACCAGTAAAAGGCTCCGGCGGCTAAATGCTACAGTGTGTTGACTCCTTAGGCCTTTCGTGCGATCGCACGTCTTCAGAGGTGTTGACATTCCTCTGAAGATGTGCGATCGCACTGGTTCGGTGGCCGCCTGGATTTATTGGTCAGTGTACCTCTTTATTGTCATTTTTTTTACTTAATAAATTGAATTAAAGTGAATGGCAACCGCCCACACGTCCTGCATTTTGTGTGTGTGAGTGGTTGCATGTGCGGGATAAAGTGCAGGTCCCGCAGTGACTTTCACCCACACTACTGTGAACTGAGATTCAAAGTATAGTGGAGAAAATAATTATTTGATCCTCTGCAGATTTTGTAAGTTTGCCAACTTACAAAGAAATGAAGGGTCTATAATCATGTCCCTGACAACCTTTGACAGCTCTTTGGTCTTGCCCATGAGGTTTGAAAGGAAGAAAGAGATTCTGTGGACAGGTGTCTTTTATACACATAAGAAGTTGTCATTTGGAGCACTAATCTGTGTACCACATGAGCACGTCTGTGGGAGCGAGAATTATTGTTGGTTGGTAGGGGATAAAATACTTATTTTACTCACTGAACTGCAATTTATAACATTTGTATCATGTATTTTCTCTGGATTTTTGGTTGATATTCTGTCTCTATCATTTAAAATACACCAATGATAAAAATTATAGACCCTTCAATTCTTTGTAAGTGGGCAAACTTGCAAAATCCACAGGGGATCAAATAATTACTTTCTGTACTGTATATGGTCTGGGAAATAGATTTAAGTGAAATAATTTAAGGTTGGTGGATTTCCCAGGGATGATTTTGACATTTTTGACTTTTTATAAAAAAACAAAACAAAACAGGGTGGCCCTTTAGGTCTGGTAGGAAGGTTAGGAGGGACCCAACAGTATTTTTGTTTAAAAAAAAGTGCATGGGGCTCCCCCTTAAAGCCATACTAGGCCCTTTAGGCCTGGTAGGACTTTTAAGTGAAACCCCACCTCCCAAAAATGGGGGGAGGGGAGTGTGTAGGGTTGGCAGGGCAGGAAAGGGGGGGGACGAACGAGTGCCCCTCCGTGGCTTACCATAGCACATTACCCATGACTCCGCCCCCAATAGCGATGGGGACAAGGACCTCTTCCCCATAACCCTGGCTTGGTGTTGTGGGGTTCTGTGGGCAAGGGGTCTCATTAGCATATTTGTAGAATAAATAAAGACGCCAGACTTTTGAAAAATTCCTTTAATAAAAAAAAAACAACAGTTTTGACAAGTCCTTTTATTTAAAAAAAATCCCAAAATGGTTCCACCGATGTAATCCATTGTCAGTCACGGTATCCAGTGTTTTCATGACGACGCCAACTCACTGAAATAAAACAAAAACATAAGCTCTCTTACCCGTCCGCACTCGCCGAACACTCACAACAATCTGACATTTGCTGGTCAGATGTAAACAATTGGGCGGAACTCATGGTGATGGCACTGCAAGCTCCGCCCAATTGTGCTATTATTGGCCAAAGCATTGTATCTGACCTGTGGTAGGGTACATTGCTTTGGCCAATCATGTCTCTCACAATGCACTGTTAGAGTGCAGTGGATTGTGGGGCACGGAGGGCAAACAGCCTGCAGAACGCCCTTACCATTCGTGTGTTTGGCGAAGAAACCAGATATAAACAAAATAAAGGAGTAAAGCGCACTGAATAGCGTAGATAAGACTATCTTTAATTGGCAAAAAATAAAAATGACAGTAGTAAACACAATATGGTGTGGCGCTTGCAATACTACAGCACAATAACTTCCCTTTACAATAATGTAAATTCCCTTCAATGACACCATACACATGGAACTGTGTAGTATTACAAGTAGCACATTGAAAGGAATTTATTTATATTATTGTATATGGGAGTTGTTGTGTTGTAGTATTGCAAGTGCTACACCATATTGTTTTTACAAAATTTTATATACAGTGATTAGTATTGATACATGCATTTACTTAGTTAAGCATGCTACTGAGGGAGGTGCATTGCAGTACAGTTCCATGTGTATGATGTCACTGAAGGGAATTTATTTACATTATTGTATAGGGGAGTAGTATTGCAAGCGCCACACCATATTATCTTTACTTACCTTGTTTGTATCCTATTTATAGGATATAAGCACGGAGGGGGCAGCTTCATTTGGTAACAGACCCATAGCACAGAGTATTGAATTGATTGAAAAGAACAAATTGCTCTTACAGACAGAAAATTTTAATCAAGACATAAAAATGGGAGCACCTCGTGATATGGAGTGCCAGATGGTCTAAACAGAGCTCCGTCCGCTTTCACTATATGGCTGGCATGAGGAATTAATATTATACAGTATTTATAAAGTGCCAATAGTTTGCTCAGCGCTGTACATTACAATGGGAGACAATACATGAGACAGTACAATAACAATACAGTGCAATACACGAGGGGTTCGAGGGCCCTGCTCCTTGGAGCTTTACAATCTAGGAGGGAGGGGATAGTGGTACAGAAGGAAAAGCTGTGGGGGATGGAGTGGTAGGAAGAGTGGACGAGATCTGCAATTAGCAGGGGGCGGGGTAGGCTTCCCTGAAGAGGTGGGTTTTCAGAGTGCGCCTAAAGGAGAGGAGAGTAGGTGATAGTCTGATGGAATGGGGTAGGGAGTTCCAGAGGATGGGCGATGCCCTGGAGAAGTCCTGCAGGTGGGCATGGGAGGAGGAGACCAGGGAACTGGAGAGTAGGAGGTCTTGTGAGGAGCAAAAGAGTACGTGTTGGGTGGTATTTGGATATCAGGCCGGTGATGGAATTTTGGACAGTATTATGGACAGCTTTGTACGTCAGTGTTAGGATTTTGAATTTGATCCGTTGCGCAATCGGAAGCCAGTGGAGGGATTGGCAGAGGGGGGTGGCGGAAATGGAGCGGTTGGTAAGGTGGATGAGTCTGGCTGCCGTATTCAGGATCGACTGAAGCGGGGATAGTCTGCGGTGAGGGAGGCCAGTGAGAAGGGAGTTGCAGTAATCAAGTCGTGATATGATGAGGGAGTGGATGAGTTGTTTAGTGGCTTCTGGGTTAGGAATGGGCATATTTTGGCGATGTTGCGGAGGTGGAGTCTGCATGAGTTTGTTAGCGATTAGACTTAGGATAGATTGGAGTCAAGAATGACACCAAGTACTCTGGCTTGCAGGGTGGGCCTGATGGTGGCATTGTTGAACATGATGGAGAAGTCAGTGGGGGTGGTGCACAGGCTGGGGGAAAACTAGGAGCTCAGTTTTGGAGAGGTTCAGTTTAAGGAAGTGGAGTGACATCCAATCTGATATGTCCTTCAGCAGGCTAGTGATTTGGGCGGAGACTGAGGGGGTGAGGCGAGGGGTCGAGAGATAGATTTGCATGTCGTTGGCATAGAGGTGGTAGTTGAAGCCGTGAGAGTGTATGAGTTGGCCAAGGGAGGAGGTCTAGATGGACAAGAGAAGGGGCCTGAGGACAGAGCCCTGAGGGACCCCGACAGAGAGGGGGAATGAGGGGGAGGTGGTAGCGTTATAGGTAACGCTGAAGGAGCATTGTGATAGGAATGATGGCTAGGCGGAAAAGGAACTGGAGAGAATACTAGATAGCAACTTTTGGACTTAGAGCTGAAAACAGATTGAGGGAGCACACAAACTCTCATCATATCAATGTCCCTGAGACCATCAGAGAGAAGAAATAACTAGTATAAAGCATATATTACAAAGCAGAATTTAACTGGATAAAATGCGGTTCAGCAGCTAATAGTAAAACAAGAATAGTTATCAGAGATATCAAGTAAAAATCAATGCTGACTTCCCAGATGATTACAGTAACAACACACAAAGAATTAGTAAGGTAGTAGTGGATATACACCAAACATACAAATGATCATAATTAACAATAAAAATACAATTTGCTAATGTAACAAAAAGCAAAAATTACTAATATTATGAAATCAAAACAAATATACCAAGGTATATGCTTATGATATCATAATATATTATATTTATAATAAAATGTATGCAATTTGTATTAAATATATATAAAAATAGAAACTAAAACTCTGTCTGTGCTCACCCTCATTGAGTAAATGTAATAGGATGTAGCGGGGAAAAAACACCACTAGATGTCATGCAAATACAAAAGCCATCCATGAAAAAGACAAGCAAAATGAAAAGCTACCCTGTAATTTTCCAAAAGAAATATTCAACGAGAAATAAAAAGTAACCCTAACTACATCCAAAACAAAGGAAAAAATATAATAAAAAATAACAATAGCAGTAATGTAAGATGACAGATACAGTTGCAAGAACAAGTATGTGAACCCCTTGGGATTACGTGGAGGTTTGCATGAATTGGGAATAAAATGTGCTCTGAACGTCATCTAAGTCACAACAATAGAAGAACACAGTCTGTGGAACATAATACTACACAAACATTGGATGTTGCCATGGTTTAATTGCACATAACATGTAAACATTCACAGTGCAGGGAGGAAAAAGTATGTGAACCTTTGGACTTAATAACTTTGGCAGCAATAACCTCAACCAAACATTTCCTGTAGTTGCAGATCAGACCTGCACAACAATCTGGAGTAATTTTGGACCACTCCTCTTCACAAAACTTTTTCAGTGTAGCAATATTCTTGGGATGTCTGGTGTGAATCGCTCTCTTAAGGTCATGCCACAGCATTTCAATCGAGTTGAGGTCAGGACTCTGATTGGGCCACTCCAGAAGGCGTATTCTGTGCTGTTGCAGCCATTGTTATGTTGAATTACTTGTATGCTTTGGGTCATTGTCCTGTTGCATCACCCATCCTCTGCGGAGCTTCAGTTGGCGGACAGATGGTCGTACGTTTTCCTGCAAAATGTCTTGATAAACTCTGGAATTCATTTTCCCATCAATGACAACAATCCGTCCAGGCCCTGAGGCAGCAAAGCAGCCCCAAACCATGATGCTCCCTCCGCCATGTTTTACAGTGGGGATGAGGTTTTGATGTTGGTGTGCTGTGCCTTTTTTTCTCCACACATAGTGTTGTGTGTTCTTCCCAAACAACTCAATCTTGGTTTCATCTGTCCACAGTATATTTTGCCAGTAGTGCTGTGGAACATCCAGGTGCTCTTTTGCAAAACTTCAAACGTGCTGCAATATTCTTTTTTGGACAGTAATGGCTTCCTCCGTGGTGTCCTCCCATGTACTCCATTCTTGTTTAATGTTTTCCTTATTGTAGATGTGTCAACAAAAATGTTAGCATGTGCCAGAGATTTCTGTAGGTCTTTAGCTGACACTCTGGGATTCTTCTTTACCTCATGCAGCATTCTGCGCTGTGCTCTTGCAGTCATTTTTACAGGATGACCACGCCTAGGGAGAGTAGCAACAGTGCTAAACTTTCTCCATTTGTAGACAGTCTGTCTTACCGTGGACACATGAACATCAAGGCTTTTGGAGATACTTTTGTAACCCTTTCCAGCTTCATGCAAGTCAACAATTCTTGATCGTAGGTCTTCTGAGAGCTCTTTTCTGCGAGGCATGGTTCACATCAGACAGTGCTTCTTGAAACCAGTAAACCCAAAACAGGTGTGTGTTTTTTAATGGCAGGACAGCTGTCAGCAACACATCCAATATCATCACACTGATTGGAGTCAAGGTTGGCTCACTCCTGGCTCCAATTAGCTCTGGGAGAAGTCATTAAGCTAGGGCCTCACATACTTTTTCCTCCCTGCACTGTGAATGTTTACATGTTATGTGCAATTAAACCATGGCAACATCTAATGTTTTGTGTAGTATTATGTTCAGCAGACTGTGTTCTTCTATTGTTGTGACTTAGATGACGTTCAGAGCACATTTTATGCCCAATTCATGCAAAACTCCACGTAATCCCAAGGGGTTCACATACTTTTTCTTGCAACTGTACATACACGGGGGTACATAAAATGAGAAATAAAATAGAGACCAAGAATAACATTAATATTAATATAATATATATATATATATATATATATAATATATATATTATAAAATGGTGTGTTTCTAACGTTTCATTCAGCTTCTGAGCTTTTTTCATCGATCCCCCACACTCTTCAGTGTACAAAAAAAGTCCCTGTCAGATGGGACTGGTAGGGGGGCAAACAAGAGACCAAAGCATCCAGAAATAAAGTAGCATCTACTATAAAAATGTATAATTGCACCAAGACTTTATCAGCACCAGAAGTGATTTTTAATCTATTCAAAGGTTTACAAATTTTATTTAGGGCCTTTGCTTAACCTCCCTAGCGGTCTGATAATGTCCATATTTCTGTGCTCAAAGCGGTACATTTTTTGCATGGAAATATGTATTTTTTTTATTGTAGGCCTGTAATTTTTAGGAATAACTCACTGAAATCTGTCTGAAAAAGAGTCTAGTAAACATCCCGGGTAGGATAAAACTTGAAACACGAAATCATAAATTATAATTTAATACATAATCATAAAAAATAATATTATAATAATAATAAAAAATTTAATTCAATAATATAATCAAACCAAAAACACTGAAATATGAAATATAGCGCCAAGTTCGCACATCACTGAGCAAAATCATTTTCAGTGTCTGATGACGAATTTCCCCACGAATCATTATCACTCAATTCTGGTTGGTTCTAATTTACTATCGCTGTTTTCTAGCTGGTCTAAAACCGCTTTTGACCTAAAGGGATGCTTTTTGGACGTGATGGACATTTCTCAGTTTTTAGGCAGAAAGAACAGTAAAAATTCAGGCAGGGCACAGGACAAAGCACTAGGGACAAAATGTATGTGAAATGGTTTGACACAGTAATGTTTTACTATGTGATTTTAGTGAATGTCACTTTTTGTCATTTTCACATTTCCCGCCGTTCCGTCCCCCGTACGTCCCGACACTCGCAGGGGACAGAACCCAGATGACAGATGCCGGCATCCGCCGGGGACACTGCAGGAGGGACATCGCGGGAGAGCAGGACAAGGTAAGTGATAGAGGGATCGCGGAGCAGCACCGCATGGTAAGCCCGAGTGTAGCTCGGTGTTACCGCTTGTGGTACTGAAACTTTACCCCGAGCTACACTCGGGAATACCACCAGGGAGGTTAACAATGGCACTTTGCAAAACAAAAAGCAGTATTAGCTTCTTCATTATCTACAGTTAGGTCCATATATATTTGGACACAGGCATAATATTAGTTTTTCAGGTATTTGCCAAAACGTATTCAAGCTATTGCTATATAATGAATATAGGCTTAAAGTGCACACTGTCAGGTTTAATTTGAGGGTATGTACATCCACATTGGAGGAAGGGTTTAGGAATTACAGCTCTTTGGAGTAATCATCCCCCCTTTTTCAAGGGACCAAAAGTAATTGGACAATTGAATCAAAAGCTGTTTCATGGCCAGGTGTGGGCTACTCCTTTGTTATTTTTTCATCAATTAAGTAAGGTAAAAGGTCTGGAGTAGATTCTAAGTGTGGTATTTGCATTTGGACTCTATTGCTGTGAACCTACATCATGCATTCAAAGGAGCTGTCCATGCAAGTGAAACAGGCCATTGTAAGGCTTCAAAAATGAAACAAATCCATAAGAGAGATAGCAGCAACATTAGGAGTAGCCAAATCAACAATTTGGTACATTCTGAGGAAAGAAGAATGCACTGGTGAGCTCAGCAACTTAAAAAAGCATGGACATCCACGGAAGACATCAGTGGTGGATGATTGCAGGATCCTCTCTATGGTAAAGAGAAACCCATTCACAATATCCAGACAAGTGAAGGACACTCTCCAGGAGATGGGTGTATCATTGTCAAAGTCTACAATCAAGAGAAGACTTGACAAGAGCAAATACAGAGGGTTCACCACAAGGTGCAAACCATTCGTAAGCCTGAAGAATAGAAAAACCAGATTAGACTTTGCAAAAAAACATCTAAAAAAGCCAGACCAGTTCTGGAAAAGCATTCTTTGGATGGATGAAACTAAGATTAATCTGTACCAGAATGATGGGAAGAAAAAGTTTGGAGAAGGCTTGGAACAGCTCATGATCCAAAGCAGACAACGTCATCTGTAAAACATGGTGGAGGCAGTGTGATGGCATGGGCATGTGTTGATGATGTGACAGAAGACAGAAGCAGCCGGATGAATTCTGCAATGATTAGAGATATACTGTCAGCCCAGATTCAGACAAATGCAGCAACGTTTATTGGACGGTGCTTCATAGTACAGATGGACAATGATCCAAAACACACTGCAAAAGCAATCCAGGAGCTTTTGAAGGAAAAGAAGTGGAATATTCTGCAATGGCCGAATCAATCACCTGATCTCAACTCAATTTCACTTGTTGAAGGCAAAACTAACGGCAGAAGGACCCACAAACAAAGAACAACTGAAAACAGCTGCAGTTAGAGCCTGGCAAAGCATCAGAAAGGAGGAAACCCAGTCTTTGGTAATGTCCATGGGTTCCAGACTTCAGGCAGTCACTGCCAGTAAATGATACAGAACCAAATATTAAAAATGAACATTTTATTTATGATTATATTCATTTGTCCAATTACTTTTGGTCCCTTGAAAAAGGGGGGGGGGGGGTGGCTACTCTTAAGAGCTGTAATTACTAGACCATTCCAATTTGGATGTACATACCCTCAAATTAAACCTGAGAGTGTGCACTTTCAGACCATATCCATTATATAACTATAGCTTGTATATGTTTTGGTAAATACCTGCATTAAAACTAAAATTGTGCCTGTGTCCAAATATATATGGACCTAACTGTACTTCTACCTGTACACAGTACACACAGGTGGAGGTTGCATTTTTTTTTTTAGGTATTCTTTATTTTTCATGCAAAGATTTTCATATACAGAAACAGAAAAAAAAATAACAGTAGCATACGTAGAAGCTTGGGTAACAGTGTTATCATGTGTCATAGCTGACGCTGAGTTTAACATAGGTATCCGGGTGAAAGTCTTTGAGGTCACTCAGCCATCATTTGGCATATGCTGCAATAGGTGCCTAGGAGCCAAGAGCAATAAAATAGGAACAGAAAAAAAAGGGCAAGCAACAAAAAAAAGGGGAAAACACAAGACACGTTCAACTGTTCTGTTATGTAGGAAAATCTACAATAAAAGCTGACTCAGATATAAACATACAAAAGTTTAGGTTCGACGAGTATCATATGGATTCAAATACATGGGAGCATATGAGAAAGTACTCTGGGAGTGAGTAGCCTTGTGAGGTTGCAGCATCCCTGCTCTACGGTATCAGGTAGGCCCTGGTGGGAGGGGTGCAAGGTCCCTAAGGGCCCTGGAATCCCTGAACTGTAGGGAATCAATGTATCCCAGATGGAATAAAGCTTGCTGTATCGGTCCCTGCATGTGGCCATCCATTCCTCCTCCTCCATCACATTGTTCAGCAGCTTGAGCCACTTGGCTTGAACTGGAATCTGAGACTCCTTCCAATGCATTGGGATCAAGCGGTGTGTTGTGTTTAAAAGATATAGGAGGACACTTTTGCTGCATTGGCTGGGAGGAATGGAGGGCACATAAAGCAATAACTGAAGAGCTGAATCAGGAACATCAATATCAAGGATCGTTTTAATTTGAGCTCTAATGTCTTGCCAAAAGGGATGTAGCTTGATGCACTCGCACTAAATGTGTAGGAAGGTACCACGATGGCCGCAATCTCTCCTACATAGTCCAGACACAAAGGGATAAATCTTAGCTAGTGTAAAAGGGTGTACACTTGATACCAGTGAGTGAGCAGTTTGAAGCTATTTTCCAGCATTTTTGCATCAACTGAGCTGGTATGGGTTAAGTGGTATAGGTGGTCAAGTTGAGTGTCTGAAAAGTGATACTGCAGGTCTCTCTCACATTCCACTTTGTGGATACCCAAGTATTTTAAGGAGTTCTGGCACCAAGTAAATAAGAATGAACCTTGCAACTGTGTTGACATGCCGTCAGGGATGGAAAGCGGCAGTATATCAGATTTGCTATAGTTTTATCTTGAAGTTGGAGAGTTGATGAAATCCCCTTAATTTAGCCATGATGTTGGGGAAGGATGTCAAGGGGTCTGTCGGATGGAGTCGCTTTTAATATGGATATACTCATCCTCTAATGGAGGTGAATAACTCAATTTCTGACTTTTACTTTGAGTATGATAAAGAAAATTCCAATTGTAAACCTTTGTTATCCTTCTGTCTGTGTCAATTACCTGAGCACAGGCTGAGGTGACGAGAGGGTTCCCCTTACGGCTTAGTGCAAAGCACCCCTGAAGATTGTAACAGAAGGTGCAGTGCCCAAAGAAGCACGGGTTGCCAATGATGTGTTTGCCTGGTGGTTCCAGATGAGACGACACCCGTGGGAAGAGAGGATACAGCAGGTGACTCTCTGGAAGAGTGGTGGATCTTCACAGATGGGCAGAGCAGGAAGCACAGCTGAGGGTCAAACACAGAATATAAATCAGGAAAGGAGTCAGAGGCATAGTCAGGAGCAATACAGGGTCATACACAAGACATCAATCAGGAATAGACAGGAACAGATCTGAGTAGCAAACTAGGTTCAGAGCCCAGAGAGAAGCAAGAGCAGGTCGGGGTCAAGCTGGGTCTGTAACGGATAATCAGGCAGAGTAACTCGCACAGGAACACAGGAACAGGAGGCTGACGATAATCCAGCAATTACTGAGAGGAGCTGCAGTCCTTATAAAGGCCATTGGGTGCCAGCCATCACGCATGCAGATGACCCACTACGTGCTGTGTGCCTATGCGCGAATGCGCACATTTTTGCGTAAATTGACGCAGCCATATTGTACATTGGTGCATTTGCCAGGGTTTCTCTGATTTCTTCCCTGACAATCTGACTCATGACAAAGGACCATTCATCACTACTTCTTTTGAAATGACACTTTATGATTTCATCAAAATGTGCGATAAGGAAGCTCTTACTCATAACTCTCATAGATTCTTCATTCCCAGATCGCTTTTAATATGGATATACTCATCCTCTGATACAAATGAATATCTCAATTTCTGACTTTTACTTTGAGTCTGATATAGAACATTCCAATTTTAAACCTTTGTTAGCCTTCTGTCTGACTTACAACAAGGGACCATTCATCACTGCTTCATATGGAATAGCGATTTATGATTTCACAGTGTGCGATAAGGAAGCTCTTACTCATAACTCAGCAGACCAATAAGGGAGGAGGAATCGTGGTACAAACTGGAACAGACTATATAGCAGAAAGCTATCTCCTCCTTAGTGACACCTTATGAACATGGACAGAGCCCTAGCTTCAGTGATTCTCAGTAAACAAGAGGATCAATTTCTCCACATATTACACCCATATATTTCATACTCACATCATATCTCTAAAATGCACAAGGATATCGATAATCCACTTGGCTACCCAATCAAGGCCCCCTCCTCCTCCCCCCCCCCACACAAAGCATAACCTTACCCCCAGCAATGATCTCCTCCCCAACAGATCCCCCTTCACCAGCAGAAATCACCCCTTCCCCAGTAAAACGCTCCTCCCCACAAGACACCCCCTTGCAAAAATATTCTCCCCAGAATTCCCCATCCAGCAGGGGAAGTCCTTCTTCACTGGCTTCAACTTGACTTTGTCACATGACATGCCAAAGCTGAGGAGGAGTTGGTTCTGAACTGCAGCCGAGGTCTGAGGTCTGTGCTGTGAGCTGTGGGGTACAGGAAAATGGCATTGCTGAGAGAGATGTGGGGCATGTGCCTTGGGTGCTGGCAAAGCTCCTGGTGCTTATGGTTACTTTTCCTTTCTCTGTCAATGTTTCTTTTCGAAAATTGGGGTTGATTTATAATGTATTTTCATAGTCATTTTCCCAGTGAAAATGGCTATATCCTGTGCTCATCAAATGTAAGTCATTGATTTAAAATAGGAATTACTGCCAATACTGCCAATAAATGAGGCTACGTATCATAGGAAGTTCCTCTATCCAGTGACTACATTTTGTATTGTATTTGCATTACATCTTGGGGCTTTTTTTGCTCCACTACAGCCCATTACATTTACTCTATGAAGGTGTATACATAGACAGTTTTTATTTCTATTTTTATTTCAATAAAAACTGGGAATAT